CAACAACGTCCTGCCGCTGGACGAAGGGTAGACATGTCTTGTTGCCGACGGTTCCTTGCAGCTCCGCAGGCTGCAGTTTTCTTTCCGACACGGGAGCTGACAGAGCGAATGCCGAGGTACATTCGGGGAATGGCCGATGAGGAGTCAGATATGGACTGAGCAGAGTAGCCAAATCTGGTATAACTGGGCAAGCGAGGCAGAGATTGCTGGCTCGACATTGCCTCGCAAATGTTTGTCCGAATGCAGTCGATGGTGAATGCAAGACATGCAAGGCTTTCGCAGCATTGATCTCATGTTTCGAAGCCATAACTGGTACACTGCGCCTTGACATTCATGACGCGCTCACCTCTCAGAGCAAGCGTGAGAAGCACTGCTGAGCGTGCATGGCCCAGCAGCCAGTCTGAGAGGCTCGGAGTTTCATGCGGTTTTGCGGCAAGCACAACAAAAGAGCTTGCGGGCGCATTTGCGGAAGCACTGGGAGAGATTGCGCAGCGAGTGCGTCACCTGCCCAGTTGATACCGCCGTGCCACTACTTCCAGATGGGATGTTGCACGAAAGGTGCAGCTTGCAAGCCTGGCTCTCGGGGAATCGTAAGTCTGATCACATCTGCATGGGCTCAAAAATGCAACACATCAAGCGAAGGGTTGCTGGGGTCGGGGCAATGGCTGAGGTTTTCTCACAGTCATGCTGCATCGCGATCGAGACAGGTTTGTTCTTGTCAGTGGGCGGGAGACATTCACTCGAGCCCCGCCAGTGGAGAGCCCCTAATGTTGGCAAAACTCGTCACAGGAAGACACTTTGCGCATGGAAGCCTTGCGACTACAGGCCAGGCTCTCTAGGTCAAGTCTAGCTTGAGATCCTGTGGGAAATTCTGGGCAGGTGGAGTATTACCTCAGTGATGAGAATTTGTTGACCGACAATTTCTTCCAGGCCGGCGCCGAAGCAAGGCTTTCCTGTTCCTCTTTTCAAGCCCCTTTCGCGAGGACTTGATCCACAGCAGTGAAGGAGGATGGATCGCGATCGAAAGCTTTCTAGGCCTCAGCCCCCTCCGGAGAAGAGTGAGACGAGTTGCGCCGCAGTCGACCGACCAACGGCCAACCCCTTTCCGGACAGAACTTGGCTCCAGGCTGCCCGCGAATCCACCAGCTGCGGGCCACAGCAACGGAGGTGAGGGCTTCTCGAAACCCTAAACAATAATGTATGTTGGAATTCTGGGCCTTGGCACGACTTTGAGCGCACTCGCTCAGCTCATTGCGGCACTGCGGTGGTCCAAGCAGCTTCGGCTGCGGGAGTGGCCACAAGGAAAGGAGGCGATTGGCTTTTGGTCATGCAAGAGCTTGAAACTGAAAGCTTAAGCTGCAAACTGCAGGCAGTTTGCCGCACATCACCACCACCTAAGCCAAAGGTGCTCAGCGCACAGGCACAGAAGACCAAGCGACTGCATGTGCACTTGTTGAAAGGTGCATGCAACTACTGTCCCTGTCCCGGCTGGGGAAGATACCCTGGAGTTTAGGCCGCAATCTGAGTATCCACAACTCCGATCAGATACGGTCAAGCTCAGGATTCAGGCAGAGGCGGTTGCATTAGAGAGGCATCTGCGCAAAGCGACGGCAGCCCTTGATGTCTTGTGAGGCTGTTTGAGGTTTGTGCGGCCCCAGAAAGGCCTCAAGAACTAAAGGGCCGGGGGAAGTACCCTCATGTACCCTCCTAGCTCGGCCAGATTACGGACGAGATGTGATGCATGCGGCTGTTGAGGCCACTGAAATTGCTCCGGGACTTCACAAAAGGATGGCAGGCGATTCAAGCAGTCGAAAGGCCCGTCACAGAGCGGCAAGCATTGAGGCCGTGGTGGAGGATGTGGATCGCCGATCCTTCTGCTTCGTGAAGCGGACGAAACCTGGTTGCTGTACTGTATCCCTTGCAATGTTTCCGGAGAAGCTGAGAGGCAGCCCGTTAGCTTGGTGGCAGTCGTTGAAACTTCCCAGGAGTGCGCCTGAAGATGTGCTGCGACAGGCAGGTGAAAACTGCATGGACTATCGCCCGCTAGCTTCTTCTTGAATGTGCATCTTCTTCGTGCATGCTAGAGTTTCCAGCGAGTCATGCGCAAGTTACTTCTTCAGGAATTCGACCTGCTGCTGTCATCTGGACACTGGCAGACACTGCCTTGACCTTACCGGTGTGAAGCTTTGAACGGGATGAGACACCACATCTCTGCGGTCTTGATACCCTTCTAGCCACGCAACCTCATTCCATCTCATGCTGCTCCGAGCAGGACGTATGCTGATGATGACGACTACGACCCTATCGGCAGTAGTGTATTGATGTACAGCATGCATGTCCAGAACGCTCCTCAGAGGACAGTCATCATGCTGTTGCTGTGGCTACCGCCCTGCGTGTTTACCGTGATGGTGAGAATGACATGGTGGAGGAGGAGGCGGAGGGTATTTTCGGTGATGATAGCGGTGTGATGCTCGAGTTGATGATGACTAGAAGGTGGGCGATCGCTTCGATGAAGATGACGAGGGGGACTGCCGTTGCTGAATTGTTCATACTTCGATTTCCGTTGCTGCTGCCGAAACTCTAGTCTCCTCGGCATCCGAGCGCCGAGGACAAGCAAAACAGGCGCCGTCACGAGAAGCACTGCATGGCTCGGCCCTTTGAGCACCAGAACTCGTGGATTGCTATGCTTTGGACATCCCTTAGCAAGCCGACAAGGAGACTATCTGTCTGTGTGCTCTGTCAGGATGAGAGTTTATGTTGAAACTCGCCCTTGGCAGTTTCTGAAGGTATGTGTCTCCAGGATGCTGTTGCCGCTATGTCTACGGCGACACCGCTGCGTTGATCTCAGTGTCCACAGCTCTGGGATGTTCAGTCATGCAGCGGTAAATTCTGATAATATCAGTAGTGGATGTCGCCTTGCCCAGACTTGAAACCCCATGCCGAGGTACTGCCACGAGACAAGCCGCGTTGGCTTGCTGATGTTGAGGTGGTTCTCCCGTCTGCTGCACAGGCCGAAGCTCTGTTGAACTCTGCATGCAGGCCAGGGTCCTCGGAGAGCTCTGTGGGCTCAGAGAGGACGAGTGGCCGAACAGTGGCGGCCTCTCATGTTGCTTCGCGCTGCACGAGACTCACAAGCCTCAACTGCAGGTGTAAACATGAACCTCTATGAGGACGAGGCATGTGCATGCATTCTACCATTGCATGGCTGGGTGCGACATGGCACCGTTTCTCCAAATATGTGTGTGTGTGTGAGTTTAACCTGCTACTATCACTGCCATTTGCTCGCCGTGACAGTCGCAAAACGTGGGCTGGCACTCCGATGACGAGGCAAGGATGGCAGACCTAGAAAGATAATTAGGGCTGTTCCAGGGTGGCTCGCAGGATAGTCTAGCTCAGCAGGAGCTTTGCTTGCCCAGGGTCTCTTCCGCGGTTGTCAGGCAGACTGCCAGGAGCTGAGATCAGCGCAGACTTGCTTGACTGCGAAGTTGGCAGTGCCTCTGCTGCTGCTGCCGCTGCTGCTGCTGCTGGACCCATCCAGGTGAGTGTCGCCCCTTTGGACACGCCACGAAGTTGCATAGATTCAAAAGTCACAGCACTCAGGGGTACCGACACGCGACACGAGACCATATGCATGTATGCATGTATCAGTGTAATGTAATGGAATGTAAAGTAATGCATTGTAAACAAGTGCGCAGGTAAGTAAGGTCTGTGTGTATGTATGATGTATGTGTATATACATATATGTTTTTTTATATACTCATGTATGTATGTACGTATGTATGTATGTATGTATGTATGTATGTAAACTGTATGTAGACTGTATGTAAACTGTATGTATGTATGTATGTATGTATGTATGTATGTATGTGTATGCATTTGCGTGTGCATATGTATGCTCGTCTTTGGTAGGTACATATGTTTGTGAATTATGTATCTGTGCAGGTATGTGTGTCGATGCATGTGTGGGAGCCCGTGCGGGGCTCCGCGAGGTCGGATCATCTCAGCCTCCTGGGGCGCTTCGCGGAGATTCGAGGTAGCTGTGAAGGAGCCCACAGCAGGGTCCTGTGGTCTCATTGCGCTTGATCCTTGAACCTGCAGTTTCTGTGGGATTCTAGCATTTAGCTGCATTGCAGGACCGGAACCACGTTTCTGGAAAGCCCAGCGTCTTCTATGACACGCTCAATAGTGTTACCCTGAACTCAGGCTGCCAGCAGATTTTGTCTTGTTGGTGCATTCATTGCTCAGTGAAAAGCCCTCAAAAGGAGATCTGTGCACCATGGAGGGGCTTTTCCAAAAGCTGGTATCTCAGCGGACCTTCGTCTGAGGTGTAGTGAGAGAGGTCTCAGGATGCCAAATCTCATGACGGGAAGTCTCGGGTTCTTCGGAGGCACTTCTCACATCAAGTGGCCAAGGAGAAGACTGGGCTGCTTTTGAGTTGTTGGAGTCGGAGTGGGTTCAGATCATATGACCGAATGCTGCGCAGGGAAACTCTGTGGAGAGTCCGAAGTCATCAGACTCCACCAATTCGGAGAGCATGGCATCTCCTGAAGAGAGACTTGGATGCAGCTGCCACCCTTTGACATCAGAGATTTTCCCTGCAGCACCTCTCCGGGCTCTCGGCCAATCTCAGGACATCACGATATAGATCGGCTCCTTGGCCACTTGTGCATAGCCAGAGATTCTCCAGTGACTCTAATATTGCTTCCGAGTTGGGTTTACGGCTGATGTCGGCTGATCATAGATGAAAAGGTCCATGTTGCTTCTGATTGCTGATTTCTTTGCGTGTGCCAAAATCGAGGCTCGAATAAATCTCACCTGGCGCTACATAGCCCTGGCCTTAGCTTTGAGTTCCCCCCTCGCCTTTGTTTCCAGAGACTAGGAGGTGCAACCAGCATGTCGAAGCGAAGCAACCCGGCTTGCGTAACTTCATGTAAGGACTGGGCTGGTGGCTAATATTAAACTCGCTTAACTTCTGGCTACTGAGGTCAGTCATAGATCATACTGCCGGCGATCTCGGCCAGATGGGGAAAGTCCACGACTCCAGCCGCCTTAAGAGCGCCTGAGAGAAGCCGTCATTCCCAGTCCGTAGGTTTCGCCAGAAGACGAAGCAACTTGTTCTGAACCAGCTACCCTACACAGCAGTGCTGAATGAGGGTTTCGCATGTGGGAGCCGGCATGACGAAGATGTTCGTATACCTTTGGGCGAAGTGGATGGACAGAGGATGCATCCAAGAGGATGCATCCAAAATGGCAGGATTTGGGGTTAAAGAACATGGAACGTGAATCAGACAATATTTGGACATAGTCGACTCTTCCACCTTTCGGAGGAAGATTAGGAGAGGAGTATCCGACAGAGTCGGCTTCTGGTGGCCAGTTAACGTGCCGGCATATTCGTCTGAACCTTCAACGTGTCAGGCGATTCATCAGAATGCTAGGGGTGACAAATCAATAATACATCCGTCGAAGGCACAGTCGCAAATTGCCTCCTCTGAGATCGCAGCAGCCTGATGTCAAAGGACAGGCTGCATGCTGCATTCATGTAGACTGCTTGGTCTCCGGGTTTGTGGCTTGGTGGGCTGCGAATAACAATAAGAATGAGAACATTTCTCCGTGTATGCTACAGATAGTGCTGCGACCAGTTTGCGACCAGTTACGCCTTCTGCTGTTGTTACAATTAGAACGACGGCTGCGACATACTGCCTGCCGCTGGGGGGCTCCTTGTGCCGCCACTGCCGGCGTTGCCAGCACAGCCTTCACACCATTTAGTTCTTGCTGCCGTGTTAGCATCGCAATTCCCAGAGTGAGTTGCCCGCATCATTCCTCAAAGCAACAATAAGATAGGCACAGCAAGTAGGATAGCATTTGCCAAAACCCGAACATGAATCGCGTTCACGAGAGCAGCAATAGGAGGAATGGCCACAGCAACAACTGCAAGAGGAAGAAGGAAACTCACAAGCGCAAGGAGAATGAAACAGTCGTCTAACGTATGATCGATAGCTGTTGCAAATCTTTGTGAACACGTAGAAACGTAAAACAGAAAAATGACCAAGGTAGTACAAAGACTAGTTAAGAAGGACGAGGAGGATGACGATGTCGCCACTAGTAGCGCAGTCAACGAGGCCATCACACCAGACTGCAATAGCATTGGTCGCAGAATGTGGTAAGTAAAGCATGTAAAGCAAAGAAAGATTACATGAGAATGCACACAAGAACGACAAGAGAAAAGGCCAGGCGACAGTGGAGTGCTGACGATGCTTGAGAGTAACCGGTAAGAGTCGAGGACTTGGTTTGGGGAAGCTCCTGTAGCTCGGGTTTAGCATTGCGGGCGTTGCGACACACCCTGACCAAGCAGTTTCAAAAGGACCAGAACAGAAAGAGAAAAAAGGCAGCAACCTTGATGTGCTCGTTTTTGGCATGCATGTTGGAGCCGTTTGATCAGGGCAGGTGGTGAGGGTACTGTCAGTTGCCTAGAAGCCCAGCAGTACAGTTAGAGAACCTGCTGCAGTGAGACTGATGCCTGGTTTGCGGAAGCATTTGGCTGAGCAATGCAAACCCGAGATGCACTGGAAAGCAGCCAGAAGTATTGCAAGTAGGAGCTGACTCTACGGAGACTCAGTACGCATAAGCAGCACGGACACGGAGCTCTTTCAAAAGGTTTAACTTCTGCATGTGCTCTCTGCTTTAGTCAGCACATCATGTGGACGAAGGATTCAAAGCCTGGAGCTCAATTTCCTGGTAGTGGTTGATAATTTGCAGGCTTCTTGTCTTGAACTCTCCGAGGTGGGATGGCGTCAAGGCGAATTTGGATCCAGAGCAGCTGTCGAAGCTCCAGGTACCCTCTAGTTACTCTAGTTCTCAGCTTTGCTTCTGCATCAAAGTGCTGCAAATTCTGACGAGTTGAGGACCGCAACAAGCTCTTGGACATTTTAGAGAACCAAGGTCAGCAGATTGTCTTTTGCCTCACTTATGATCTGTTTGTAAAGCTGATGCACACAGACTTGCGCTGCACATTCTGCCGTGCCATTCGAATCCAAGGTAGTGGTGGGAGACACTTCGTCAGGAAAGTCGACCACAATCAACTTTTTGCATCAAGGCTGCAGCATGCCATAGCAGACGTGTTCTTGGACCACCCGCAGTTACCTGCCCGTCCACGATTGATTTTGTCCAAGGCTGGGCTACCCTTTTAACTTCGTCGCTCAGGGCATTGGCACTCGCCGGTACGAACCTTTGGGATGTTTTTGCCAGCGCTCATGTTTCGGCTGCCACAAACGCCCTAGGCCATGCGTCATGACGCTGACCCCAGACCCTGAGCGGGAGAAGGCTTGGCAGTTAGTCCACTCAAGAATCCTGGAACACTCCGGCCTGCAGGTGCTATTCCGAACGAAATTTCAGAAGAACGACTTTACTAGAGAGGAGGATTTCACGTCCTTGGCAGATGTGGTGGCCTCGGGGCATAGAATGCAATAGACGTGAAGAGCCGCGCAGGTGTGGAGTTGCTAAATGTTGAAAAATGAAAAAAGCGATTTGTAGGGAGGGCGGTGGCAGTGTTAGAGCAGAGCTGCAAGGTGGCGAACTTGGTTCGAAATGTGAATGACCCGCGAGCTCATCCAGAATGGCCGGCCCGACCTGGTTTGGTCCCGGAGAATTCGTCAAAAGTGCAACCAAGCCACCAGCCACCAGGTTTGACTGCTTGAACCCTGATCGCGCCCGTACCTGAAGCTGTTTCCTCTTGCTTCTTTTGCATCGAGAGAGTTGTTCTGTCGCTGCCTGAGCTGAGGAGCTCTTTCGTGGGCAAATGCCCCCCATGATCAGACCCGATGATGCTTTTGACGAGACACCCGTGTATGAGTGGAACTTAGCGACAACATCTCGCAACTGAGCGCTGAGAGATACGAAAAGCCTTGCTAGCGCAATGCAGCAAGGTCCAGCTTTTTCACAAGGACATAGATTGCCCCATGCGTTTGGTGGATGTTCCCGGTCACGGCCCCAGGTTCAGCGGAGTGCCCAAAGGTGCTGAAGCACTTGAGACTGCAGGTCTCAGTCGTGGCAATCGCCTCACAACCAAGATTGCTCTTTCATTCATCAAGCCTCGTGCCAAGCTTCGTTTTGGGTTTGTCACTGGCTGTCTTCCGATTCGTAGAATCCTTGCTGTGATGCGACACTGAGGCCAGACAACGCAGTCATCCTGGTCATCGGAAAGGAGCCACAAGTCGATTGCACAGTGCTTGTGCAAGTCGGTTGATGAGGTAGCGACACTTCCAGAGCTTAGCAAACAGCATACGGTGGGGTGCGCACAGTAACTTTTCACTTTCAGCGGTGCCTGCTGCTGCTTCTACTACTACGGCGACTGCTACTACCGTTGGCACAAAGTCGCCCCCACCCCACAGCGAAGGTGCCTCGTCTTGGTTAAACGACTTTACTGTTCAAAGATGCCGCAACCCCTTTGCTTAAGGCCCTCGGCAATGGCTATGCCCCTGCAGCATACTGTTAACGTGGCAATATAGACACTGGGAGCTGGGACAGCGAAACAGGAGGCAATGGCTGTAAACGCTTTGCCAGCTTCAACAGCTTAGTCTAAATAACGAAAAATGAAATGAGGACCGTAAGCCGATTGCAATACCACATGGCCGCGTGCAACCACAGGACCATCCGAACAACGGCGGTTTCCCTCATCTGGCTGCTGCCATGAGGCCCGCAGGCATGATTGTCTGAAGGGATGCGGAATAGCAAGTAGGACCCAATCACGGCCGGATTGTCATTGCCTGAGTCCAGTTCGTTCCATTCAATGGCAAGCGAAGCTGTCGCGAGAAAGAGCGCCACACTGCCACTGAGAATTCAAAAACAAGCTCTGCGTTCGTTCCAGGGAAGCAGAAATAGTCAGGACGAGAGGTTGCCCCGAGAGCCCTCCCGGCAGGGAGTGCTCCCGCACGATCGTCGTGCAGAACTTCGCCAACACTAAGATCCAAGACAATCAGGCGCAGACAGCTTTCGGCCAAATTAAGTGTGCCAGAGGTTTGCCTGTTCGCCGCAGAATCCAGGTGACAGAAAACTTCAATGTCATCTACGAGAAGATGAGTGGGCGAACGGTTTTTATCCCAGTTATCTTCATTGCTTCAGGTCGGCGCATGCAAACATGGGGATCACTTCGCAGCATGTCTGAGGACTTGGTCTTGTACTGCATTGACTACGGTTTGCCGTACGAGCCCGGATTGCCCCTCTGGCAAGAAGGTGGGTCGACAGCCTAGAAAGCTTGCGTTGATGCACTGCTTGATGAATTCAGAGTGAGTCTTGCATTGCCCGCCTGTTGCGATGCCTCTCCGGATTTTGCCCGTTCCCGGAGCACCTGCATCGAGCTTCTGACATGGCTGATACGCCAGGGTACGACCAGCAGGACTGGCACAAGATCAACAAAGAGCAGGGTTTGCAGGCGGACGAGCCCTCAGACCTGGGCAGAAAGGTGCACTCGTGAAGATGCTTGCACCGGTTTGCAGATATGTAAACCAGCTGTGCTATGAGCAGTGCACTCCCAGGAAGCACCCACCCAGTGAATCCCAGTGAAGCCGAACATCCAAGACAAGCAAAGCGTTGGCTACACTCCAACGCGATGACAATGTGGCAGTACTTTTTTTCTGGTTCTCATTCCCGATTTTGTATTTTTGGGACGGCCGTTTGCTTTGTATGTTCCACTCATGGTCTATGGTCAGTCGTAAATACAAGAGCAGGCCTGAGGCTTCAGCCTTTTTCTAAATTTAATGGGCCTGAAGCTGGATGTTGAAGGGATGTGGAGCCTTTGTTGAGAATTGTTGAGGCTTGATTTTGAAGGAATTTCGGATGTGTTCTAAGGATTGTACTGCGCCTTGGGAGGGCTCAGGCCTCGGTTCTAGTTGGGGTGTTGCTAAGGTTTAGGTTTAAGATGTACCTTGTTATTTTGGAGTCTGTTCAAGCACTTTTGTAGCGCTGTCTTAACTACAGTACGAGTCACCTAGACCACTGTACCTATGCATAAGTACTCGTACTGAGCTGCTGTACTGCTGCTGCACCATTGTCCTATTT